CTTCACCCACGTCCCTCCCGCACTGCATGCAACCCCGCAGAATCCCTCCGGCAACTGCAGTTTGCCCCCTGTTTTCCTGCCTTTACCGTTCGTTTTTTCTCTCTCCCCCAACTTCGCCTCCGCTGCCTCCCCCGGAGCTGCAGGGCCGGCCGGAGCCTCAGCCGCGCGGCACCAAGGACGCCGCCCCGCCGCGCGACGGCCCCTCAGTGCTGGCGCGCGCCCACCCCGCACAAAGCCGGTATTCCGGCAGCTTGAGGGTGCCCTCGAGCAGCGCCGGGTCCGCGACGTACTCGCCGGGCCACGAACAAACCCCCGCATCGCCACGTTGCGCTCCTCCTCCACGCCTTTGCCCGGGCCAAAATAACTCCGAATAAAGTCGTTCAGCATCGCCTCTTCCACGTGAACACCTCCCGCCAGCAGCGTGTCCTCCACCGAACTGTCGAGGGCCCAGCGCGCGCGCTGACGGCCGCCACCGTGCCGTTCCCTCGCCGGAGGCCGCCCCGCCCACAGGACAGACGTGGGGCGCCCCGCAGCAGCGTCAACTTCTTCCGCGCGCCTCCCAGATTTTCTTGCCTTGCTTTTCTTTTTCTCGTAGTTGCTACTGTTGGCTTCCGTTGCAGCTGAGAAAATAACAACCACCAACCAAAAGAAGAATACGAGGGAGGAAGAGACAAAAAATAGGCACAGACACACACGCAGCCACACAACGAGAGAGGGGCAAATAGAAGGCCGCCCACACGGTGCGGGACACACGCACACGCAACAGCAGCCAGTGGCATGGGCACATTCAACCAAAGCACACACAAAACAAACCCAGTGAGGTGAAGCCGAAGCCTGCGGGGCGCGTCCACCGAGCAGTGGGGACGCGCAGCAACAAATGGGACGACCAGCACACACGCACACACACTCCATCTCTCTCTGTTCCCACACAGCCCAGTCCAGGAAGGAAGAAAGGGGGAGCAAGAGAGGTCGCCCACTGAAAGTAATGGAAACAAACAAACAATAAAAAGGATAAAAACAGTTACGGTGCTGTACCCATGCGGCCAAGCAGGACGGCAGCGGCTCGTCGGGGGCAAAACAAAAAAACCGACGAACCTGCATGAGTGGAGTTGTGTGTATATATTACGAGCACATTATGTGTGTGTGCCTCGTGGGGTGATGCGAGGGCGAGAGAGTCCGTGCAGGGGAACACACACAAAGGGCGTGAAAGCAACAGAAAAAGGACGAGCTGTGTGCGTGCACGGCCCTCCCTCTCCCTCCCTCAGTCCCTCACGCGGCCAGCATCGCAGCGGCAGCCGCACTCGCAAGCAGAAGAAGCAGCGCAAGGGGGGAGGTGGAGTGCGAGGCCGCGGCGCTGCTGCTGCCGTCGCTGTCGCCAGGCACCGCCTTCGTTGCATTCGTCGAGTTGGTGGTGGTCGCCGCTTGAGCAGCCGCCCCCGCTGCCCGCTGAGTGGCCTGCCTTTCGCCGTCGCCACTCGTTTCTGTTTCCGGCTTGAGTGTGGGCACTGCGGGCTGCCCCTTTTGTTCTGCGTCGCCAGCTTCGTTTGCCGCCACGGAACTCCCCGGCTGCGGCTGCACCGCGGGGCTGCTGCCGCTGTCACCGTCAGTCTTAGTCGCGGCGTTCCTTGCCTCAGTGGCGGTGGACTCTGTTGCTGCTGGTTCATTTGCAGTGCCCGCCGCTGCACTTGCGGCAGCAACCCCCTGTTGGCTGTCTGGGTTCACCGCAGCATCGGAATCCGTGGCGCCTTTGGTTTTCTGCACTGTGGCTTTTCCGTCCTGACCGCCGGCATCACCTTCGCGGCTTGCAAGTGAAGAGATTTGCGTTGTCTTCAGCTCTCCTCCATCTGTTGTATTAGTTGGGGCATCCGGTAGAGTTGCTGTTTCTCCGCCCTTCAGTTGCGAGCTGGCGTCCGGCTCACCTCGGGGCTCCTGCGCCTGGGACTGTGAGAGATCATTTTTCGAGACTGTCAATGAAGCCGCTGCTTCTGGCGTTGTTTGCGTTACCGCCGGGTCACTCTGCGTCTCTCCCTCACGCTGCTGCTGGCTGGGATCAGGAGTGCCTGCCACGTTATTCAGCTGCCCGTCCTCCCTTATGCCGTTTCCTTCACTGGCGTCAACTGGCGTTAAGTCGTCTTTCTTTGG